TATCTATCTATCTATCTATCTATCTATCTATCTATCTATCTATCTATATCTGTCTATCTCATTGGGCAGGTTTTATATCCCTTCAGCTCTCTGCCCTTCCTTAAGGTGTATAGACTTGAGCTTTAAGATGTATGCACTTCAACTCCCAGGTTCCTGAGCTGGCGCGCTGACTAGGGAATTCTGGGAATTGATCTTAAAGACGCTGAGGTTGAACAAAAACTGATCTAGCAGGAATTGAGCACCTAGTTAAGGTAAAAGAGGGAAATACTTACCTAACTGGGATCAGATCAGGGACTTTGTAATCTTACAACCTTACCAAAATAAAGAAATAGCTTGTCAGCTCCTGAAGCAAATAGGAAGTTTGTCTAAGCAGCTGCTTCTCCTGATATAACTTTAAAAGATGGGCCAATCAGATGGGATGGGACTGTGGTCATTCAGCCACCATTTTGACTGCCTCCCCTCTCAAATGTCCTTATCTGTTATGCTTATCTACCCCCTCACCTCACCTGCCAAGGGAAATATATGCAAGTAGAAATGTGATGGAATCAATGAGGAAGTGGATTCTGGGAGGGAGGGGTGCATTCCAGAGGAGTAAGAGGCAACTCAGCCCAGATATTACGTGTGAGAGAAAGAGGGTGCAGACAGCACCTCCCTACTAGTTCACCTAGTTTGTTGCAGATGCAGATTCTAGAGTCCTCAGTCTGGCAGGATTTTTTTTTTCTACAGGTGTGAAACAATAACAAACAAAAGCTTGGGAGAATCAGCCCTTGTTATTCATGGTCTGGGGCCTGATAATAATACCTAAAGAGAGGAATATTGCAACAAGGGGGTGATAGGTTGTATTCTAACGAATCAGTGCTATATATCCAATTATATATTCTCAACAGCGTGAAAGTGTTCAGTAATTCATAAAGATTGGTACTCCTCTCTTAATGATTGCAATGGATGATTCAATTGCAAAACAAGCTTGCAAAACCCAGATCATCCTGATTTCTCAAAACACATTTACCACAGACCTCTGCCCAACAGTCACAATCTAATGCAGGGGTGTCAAATTCAAGGCCCAGGGGGGCATGAGTTACTTAGATCTGGCCTGCAGGGCCACCCTGGAAACAGTGAAGGACCAACCCACTGTGCTTCTGCCAGTGAAAACGGGCTCCCGAGCTCTGTTTTTGGCTGCCATAGCAACCTGCAACCCACTGCCCGCAAAAACGGAGCTCGGGAAGGCACCCCCCCCCCCGCTCGAGCTCCATTTTCGCTGGCTGAGGGTTGCAGGAGGCTGTGACAACCAAAACAGAGCTCGGGAGGCCATTTTTGCTGCCAGAGCACTTAGGCCACCACAGGTGTCCCCAACACAAGTGATGTCAAGCTGGCCACACCCACCCTGTCCCCCGCAAGGTCAAACACAGCCCCGATGAGGCCCTCAATGAAATCAAGTTTGACACCCATGATGTAGTGGGTTACTGCTGTAACTGTGTACAGATACTCCTTGAACTATGACCATAACAGAGCCTGCCCGCCATGGCTGTTAAGTCATGATGATTGAGACTGACCTATTCATTAAGTATGAATGCTACGGCCATAAAGCAAATCCATTGTTTCCTGTGGCCCAGTTTTGATCAAAGTGGGAACTCAGTGCCGGGTTTTTTGGCAAAAACATTGTAAATTGTGGCCACGTGATCATGAGATGCTGCAAACATCCGTAAATGAGGGCTGGTTGCCAAGCGCCCAGAATGGAGTCATGTGACTGCATGGGGAGTAGCCCTCAATGTCAGAAGTTCGAAAGCGAGTCATAAGTCCGTCATAACTTTGAACAGTCTCTTAAGTGATAGGTTGTAAGTTGAGACCAACAGTGTGAAATTGCAACTGCCAGTTGTTTGGCTAGTGTTTTGCTATGCATTCCTTTCTTTCCAACAACCTAGACTGTCATAATGTATTGGCATAGTTCTGTATATATGTGGATCAGTGCCAGGAGTGGTTCCTACCTTGGTCGCTACCGGTTCGGTGGATGATTGCACGTGCCCATATTGTGCATGCATGTGCGCCCCTAACATGCATGCACGTGCCCCTAACTCACCAATCAGCTGAGAGGATGAAGAAAAGAAAAGCTAGGAGTGATCCTTCCTTCCATCCATGTGCTTGTCGCTTCTCTTATCCTCTCAGCTGATCATCGGCGAAACCGGTTCGGCCACACCAGTAGTTATTTTTACTACCGGTTCAGTAGAACCGGGTTGAACCGGTAGCATACCACTACAGATCCGTGCAGTCTGGCCTTTTCTAACAGACAGATGGAAATGTTGTCTATGTGCAGATTTTCTAAGTGACCTCCAAGGCTCTTTGGTGGTGGTTATTATTAAAATGGTTCATCACGCAGTCAGCCTAATACTCTACTACAGATAGTCCTCGACTAACAACAATTTGTTTAGTGAATTTGTTTTGTTTGAAATTACAACAGCACTGAAAAAAAGTTACTTATGACTGCTTATCACACTTACAGCCTTTTCAGCATCCCCTTTTCAGTCAAAATTCAGATGCTCGGCAAATGACTCATATTTATGGTAGTTGGAAGTGTCCTGAGGTCACGTGATCCCCTTTTGTGACCTTCTGACAAGCAAAGTCAGTGAAGAATCCAGATTCACTTAACTGCTGTGTTACTAACTTAAAAATTGCAACAATTTGCTTAACAATTGTGGCAAGGAAAGTAATTAAAAAGAGGCAAAACTAAATTGTTTCACTTAGCAACATAAATTTTCGGATCAATTGTGATTGTATATCAATGATTACCATTATTATTATTATTATTATTATTATTATTATTATTATTATTATTAATGTTATTGTTACTGTTGCTGTTACTATTACATACTTTATTCATTACACATGAAATACCACTGACTGGTGCTCATGGTTGATATGGGTTGCTGTCAGCATCCTAGGTATCAACCAAATAGCTTCTTAAAATGTACAATGTTCCAAGTAGCACAGGTTTTTTTGCAATTCCACTGGTGTTATTGCAGGAGGGTGTGATTTCTTGATTTATTCTATAAAATTTTTGGACATGGTACCAAGTGCCCCGATGACAATGGGTATAACTATTACACGTTTCATCCATAAACGCAAAGTTTTTATTGTTGCTGTTGCTAAAGATGAGACTGCAGAATCCAAGCTCCTAAAGATATTCCCATTAGATGCACTCCTTCTTACCTATCTGGCTCCATTTCTAGATCATCAACTCCCTTCAATGGGGAGTTTAAAAAAATGTGTACCTGATTAGGTGACAAAGCCATCTTAGTAACGCTCCAGCACAAATGTGGAATTACTGCTCTCCTAGGGTTGAGGGCACACAATTCTTTAATGAGACTTGTAAGCATGGGTGTTTTGGGGGGATATTTCTTTGTATGGATGTTAGTGGACTGAATGGAGGTTCCTTGGTGCTCTCTGTGCTTGGTCGTTTTCTTGCAGGCATTTCATTACCCAACTAGGTAACATCATCAGTGCTAATAAGGAGTGGGGCTTGCTCTCAGTTTATATTTTAGTAGCTAGAATATAAACTGCCGCTAGAATGTAAACTGAGAGTACACCCACTCCTTACTAGCATTTGATGATGTTACCCAGTTGGGTAATGAAACGTCTGCAAGAAAACAACCAAGCTCAGAGAACACCAAGGATTTCACCTCCTATTCCAACCCTGAACTGCAAATATTCTCATTTATTAATATACTGAATCCTTATCCCAGCAATATGCTTCCTTTATTGAACTGTGTTTGCTAATTTCCCAGAAGCCTCGTGCCCTTGCTTTGCTCTCTTTCTAGAGTTGATCTAGAAACTTTACTTACTCGATTCTCTTTTGTGTACAATTTTCTATTTCAGTACTCCCAAATGAGGGATGAGGTGTTCAAATCGAACTTGGTGTGTGCATTCATTGTTCTGGTGTTTATCACTGCCATCCAAAGTCTACTTCCGTCTTCGAGGTGAGTTCTGTGGTTTGGAATGGAGAGATTAATTGGAGTTGGGATAAAGTTGCTATTTCCTGGCGGTTTCCATAGCGTAGGAAAACTGGGTTCCTGCACAAAGATAGTTGTCATTTAGCACCTCATTGTGTCAGGACTTCAACAAATCCACCCTCATTCAAAGCAAAAGTCTCTAGCCGCATCTCAAAAAAAGTAAATTGGTTTGTTAGAATTTGCCATATTGGTGCATGGCTGGGTGCAGCCAATACTAAATCATACATTTCCCCCTTGACCCTGGTCTTTCCCCCACCCCCTTGATGTGACTTCTCCAATAGGACACGTCAGTCTCCAAGAGTCATCCATCCATCATGCTCTCCAATAACCTTCTTATGCTTGGACAACTTTGGGCTGCTGAGTTGATATCTAGGCATTTCAAGAATGCCTTGTTTTCCTTTTTTTTTTTTTGGCAGCTAAAAAGACTAAAGGAGTATCTTTTTAGTTGACACATTGCAGTGATTGCAGTGAGGGCTGTAGTGTTTAAAGGCATCATGCTAGAAACCGACAAATGAAGCCAGTTCTATGACTTTGGGCCAGTCACTGTCTGTAAGTTCTCAAAAGAAGTCAGTGGCGTACCACATCTGAATATGCGGCTGAGAAGACTCCATGAACTTGTCCAAGGGATCATCAGAAGTTTAGGACTATGTTGTGGCCTGTCGGCCGCCGGCCCTTCCAGCAGCCGAATAAGAGGAGGAGGTGTGGGAATCGGGGTCAGCATTGGGGCAATCTGGGAGCTCCCAGGGAGAAGAGGGAATGGAGCTGGCAGAGAGAGAAAGAGAGAGAGAGAGAGAGAGGCGGAGCCTGGGCCATCCGTCAGCCCTCAGATGGAGAGTCAAGAGGCCCCAGGTCTGGAGGTGGCTGATGAGGAAGAGGAGGAACACCTGGGTCCAGTGCCTGACGTGCAGATGTGCAGTGGAGAGGAGAGTAGTGGAAAGCTGTGGGCTGATCCTGAGGAAGGAAGAGCTACCGCTGCTAGCGAGGCCCCATCTGGGGCCTCTGGGGATAAAAGGCAGGGGACAGAGATGAATAGGTGTGGCCGACAACTATTCATCTTCCGGCTGGATCAGATCATATGTTAAAATTCATTGCCTGTACACAAGAATCTAGTTCAATGCTAAATTGGCACTAGAATTGGGTCAATGGAATTCAAGAGGGTTGGACCGTTTGTGGCAACATAGCAATTCTAGGCTGATCGCATACTTAACTCCACCCCCAGCTCTGCCTTTTTCTCTCCTACATCTACAAGTATATTGCATGCGCATGCATAAGAATAAACATTAAGTTGACATCAGCTCCTAATGGCCACCTGCGTAGACATTCTCCAGGAAGACCTGTCCTAAGATGAAAATAGAAGATTTTATGAAGCCCTGAAACATTAGATTTTACTTTTCCTACAAATGCAGGGGAAGGCTTTCTTTCTGTCTTCTAACTATGTGTGTGTGTCTTCCTTCTCCAGAATGATTCCAATGATTGTCCAGTTTTCAATTCTAATTATATTACATTCATCTCTCGTGCTGATGACCACTGCAGAGGATTATAAATGCTTACCCCTGGTGCTCCGGAAAACTTGCTGCTGGATTAATGAGACCTACCTGGCCCGAAATGTCATCATCTTTGCCTCAATTATGATTAATTTCTTGGGAGCCATCATCAATATTGTAAGTATTTCAGAGGAGGAAGTTTGTCTGAATGGAGAAAGGAGCAGAAAAAGCATAACCTAGTTGTTAAAAGCAACTTTACTCAAATTGATGCCTTTCAGATGTGCTTGACAACAAGCATTTCATTATACTGTGAGGTCTGAGCTACAAATAATTCTGTTCTGTTAGTAATTTCATAATATTCTTCCATTCTGGCTGGCTATGATGAGAGCTATAACCCAAAAATCTGCAAAGTGAAAGATTGGGAAAAGTTGATTTCCCAGGATAGTAGCTTCTGATATTTTGCACTTGAAAGTATTTAAATATACTTTTTCCAATCTGGAAAGTGAAAGAAGGAAGGAAGAGAGGGAGGGAGGAGAGGGAGGGAGGGAGGGAAAAAGGGAGGGAGGAAAAAAGGAAAAGCAAAGAAAGAGAGGGAGGAAAAAAGGAAGGAAGGAAAGAAATCAAACCCCAGATAATTCAGTCTTTCAGGGGACTTCGGAGACACACTGGTGTCGTTGTCCTTTGGGAAGATTTTGTTTCCCTAATTATGGTTTTGTTCTATGCAATACACTACATTTCCAGCTACACATAGTCAACAATGGTAATACTTCTCAAGAACTAGTGTAAATACAATCCAAATTAGCTGAAATTGGCAGAGGGCCTTAATTCTCTATCATTCTATACACAACTAATATTTCTCAGTGTGGATTCATAAGGAGGAAACCAATTTAGACATTACTAAAATCAGAATGATGGAACACATGTTCTGGGGTACCAAAGTACTCCTAGATACTCCCTGTGATATCTACTGGCCTCCCATTTCATCTTTCTGCCTGCCTGCCTGCCCACCTATCTAGCTATCTACAGTATCTAGCTAACTCCCTCCTCCCCCTCCCCCTCCCCCTCCCTCCTCCTCCTCCTCCTCCTCCTCCTCCTCCTTCTCTTCTTCTTCTTCTTCTTCTTCTTCTTCTTCTTCTTCTTCTTCTTC